GCCTTCCACGGCCACCCGTAGCCGAACAGTCGCCAGATCGAGCCGATGATCGGCGCGAGCAGAGGGGCGAAGATCGGGATCAGGACGGCGAACTAAACAAATATTTTTAGAAAATTGAAACAGCGTCAAAAACCGCTTCCTGGCTATTCAACGATCACCCCGTTTTTGCATAGCCTGCAAGAAGCAAAAACCCCAAAAGAGCCCGCCCAATTTTTAATTTGACCTACCTTTCCCATCCATTTAAATTTCTTCTAAAAAAAGAACAGTGAATTCTTCGAAAAAAATCTAATGTTAATAAACAAAATAGTAATTTTCCAAATCAGATTTTGTCGTAAAAATCAAGGGTTCTTTCGCACTATCGGGGGGGGGGGGAGCGGGCGGGGAGACCGAACTTTTCCTAAAATTTAGAAAACGAAATGCCTAATAACAACAATAAGTACCTTCATTGCGCCTTTAATAAAATGTAATTTTATTTGTAGCGGCAACACAGACCGAAACTTTTAATAACAATTTTAAGTCGAAAATTGGCGATTTTTGTCGAAAAAACCATATTTTTTGTGTTTTTTTTTTCATAAAAATTAAACTTCGATATTGTGAAAGAACCAAATAAATACAACCTAATCTAAAAAATTCAAATAAATAATTAATTGCTAAAATTTACCTTTTGATCTTGCGGGAAGTAGAGGAGGGCGAGGAGTGATGGATCGGCGAGTGCGCTGTCAGCCTAAAAGAAGATTTTCGTAAACTTTCTAATTTTCGAAAGTTGTTGAGGTTTCAAAATTACTAAAAAACGAAGCTCAATAAGCCGCGCTTCATGGCAAAATAATTTTTTGATGCTAAAAACCTACCAATTTCCTGGCCTTCGCCACATTGTCCAACGGCGGCGCATGCGGGTCATCTACCGTCTTCAACATCTCCAGCGCGTCGTTCACCTTCGTCGCCACCTCTTTCGAGATTACTAAAACATCAAAGAATTAAAAGACAAACAAAAATCCATACCAATCTCGGCAATCTTGTCCTTGATCCGATGAAGGGCTCTGATGGCATGCCGGGCCCGTAAAGTGTTGTCAACGTAGGCGCGGAGGTGCATTCGCTAAAGCATAAAATTAGCTTAAAAAGAAAAAGACGTCTACCGTAATCTCCCACTGGGCAATCGGGCACGGATTCCTTGCTCGACCGCCGTCCAATTCCGCGTCGATACCAAGGAGTACGCTGAAAAAATGGATTTTCGGATTTTGGTAATTATCTATTCCCCCGAATGATTTTTGGAAATACGCTCACAAGGCAAAAGTTTTACGTTTATAAAATGCGATATAAAAGTAATAGAAATATATTTGTATCCTATAACTAAATACTTTAAATAAATAAAAATAAATCCTACCGTAACGAGGCCAGCATATGAGCGTCCGTTTTCTCGTTTCGCGCCACAATCGAGCCCCACGCGGCAACGGCTGCTCCTTTGCTGTCTTCGCCCTAAAAATTCAACTAAATTAATTTTAATAAAATTTTCTACCGTATTTTCGGCATTAAAAATTACCGTAAATTAATACAAACAATAACTTACCGTATGATCCAGCACAATAGCCGGGCTATCCGTTTCCAGGACCACCAACTTGTAGACGGGATCCGAGCTGGGGACCGAGTGGAGTTGCATATCGACCTGAATTTTTACGTAAAACCGAGGGAAAACTTTAGTAATTTTAATTTAATTTAAAAAAACCCGTTAATATGAGTTTTTAAAACCCCACATTCTTGATAACATTCTGCATGGCGTCCGCCGACAAGACCCAGCGATCCTGGACGTCCTTCTCCAAGTAGTGCATCACGCCAAAGTCCCACAGGTGCTGGGTGCTCACCTAAAAGATGGATAAAAATCGCACTAACTGGCGTACCGTCAAAGAAGTAACGTTCTTGATGGCGTTGGCAAAACGGACGACGTACTCTTGCGTTTTCTTGGCCCTAAAAAGAATATAAACCATCAAAAAATATAAAATATAACAATTGCAAAAAAATAAATCTAAAAAGCTACTTTTGAAGCAGCTCCTCATCAGCGGCAGCGTTTTGATGCAAGAAGATGATCTGGACGATGTAGTTTTGCGAGAGAGCTGCGCTGTCCCAGACCAAACGTTTCTAAAGCTAAACTTTGCAACAAAATAAAATTTTATACAAAAGAAAAAATAATTTCATAGAACAGAAATAAGACGTCTTTTTACCTGGTGTGAAAGTGGCAGGGCTGCAATTTGCCAGGCGTTCATCTGCTCGCGCTGATCGCGTTTGACGATGGCTTCGAGGTGTGGCATGTCGATCAGAACCTAAATTTTTTCGATGGTTATTCAGAAAACCAAATAAAGCATTTATAAATTAAAATTTAGATGGAAGATACTTTAATAGACTGAAAAATATAAAATTCACATACCTCCCAAACCAAAGACCCGATCCGCTGGCCGGTCTTCTCCAAATCGTCGCCCACCTGGATCAACGTCCACTGCGAGCACGTCATGTAGGCGTGATTTGCAGAGAAATGGGTCCTGAAACGAAATTTAAATTTTTTTAGTTCTTACCAATCAGCCGGATCAACAAGCGCCAAATGGATGTCCAAACTGCGTTCTTTCGTACCTTGTAGTTGATCAAGGGATCTAAAACAGAAACTACAGAAAAAGAGGCTTCTTCAAAACTCTAGTCGACACAGAGTTTTTCACTGAAAACGGCTAGATTTTACGCTACGCACCGTATGCCGTGTATCCGCGTATTCCAGCGAATATTTAGCGTCGTTGGCGGGTCAACGTCGTTCAGCCGCTGTATCGTCTGCTCCTCGATTTTTGTCAATTTGTCACTAAACTAACTATTTGGGGTCTAGAAAACCAAACCCACATTAACCGGGCGCTCGTTGGGACCAAATGCACCGTAATTTCAAGATCAATCTTCCGCACATTGTCTGCCAGATTTGCCATTTCCGCACGGGGGACCTGCATCGCTTTCCAAGCTGCCGTTCCGAAAATGACGGTAAGGACTGAAAAAATAGTATAAAAAGCGTTATTTTAGATCTTACCAATAAATATAAGTGTTGTGGCGAGCTTGTAGGGATCTTCCTCTTTCCGGAATTCGTGGTAGGCTGGCTAAAATAGGCTATTAAAAACATTAAACAAATACACAAACCGGCAGCCGATTAATCAACTCTTGCACGTCTTTTGGCGCCGGTTCCTCGGGCTCCCCGGTCGGCGGGGCCTTCAGCTTCAGCGCGACAAGAATCTTGTCCAACATCGTCATCGCGCAGCCAGATGATTAGCGAGGTGAGATTCTGGAAAATGACGCATTACTAGAATTGTTCTATTGCATCGCCCACAAAATTTCAAGCACTATTTCTACGATAGCATACCTTAACACCCCTGGGTTTGCCAAGAGCCAAAAAACACAAGACGAGCACGAAACTGGCGGCCGTAAAAATCGACCATACATCCATCAACTGGCGTAGAAACTTCGTGTGCCCGTTTTCTGAGAGCTTGGCCTGAAAATTAAAGATTTTTGGAACGCGCGTGTTGCAAATTCGGGTCCAAAAGTTACTCTTAATCAATATTTTAGGTGAGGGAGGGGGATTCGAATTTTTTTCTTACGCTTCAAGATATGCCTAGCAACGTAAAACAAAAATATTTGCATTTCAGTTCGAAGATCTAGTTGAAAACTCACAAAAATTAAATAATTTATCATCAAAAATTATAGAATTTTGGTTAAAAATAGATTTTCATAAAATTTGTAAGGTTTTACGTTAGGAATAGCAAACGAAGCGCATAAAAAACCAATTGTATAAAGCACATCAATCCGGAACGCCCCTGTTTTGCCACAAAAACTTTATGATAAAGACTTTATTCCGTACACACGCAAAGTAATCACAAGAAGCAATGACCACGAGCAGAAGCCGGGGGTTAAGGCTGTATAAAGCGCTGAGGACGACACATTCACAGAATGCGGCTTTTTGAAGGACATACTTTTACATTTTAAGAATTACTGGTGTGGAATCTTGAGACCTGGATACGGGCGGGGGAAATCTTCGGAATACTTTGTCGTATAATGCTGTGAGGAGGCAAGGTGAGAAATTGAGACAATAGAGGCCCAAAAATGTGTGGAATCGCGTCGGGGCAAAAATTCGATAGAACCGGTTATGTCGGGCGGAAGTAATGAGGGGTGCTTTGGCAGTACCGGGGGGATTAGTTCCGAGCGGTCCAGAATGTGTATTAACGTAAAGGAAAGTATTTTAATAGTTTTTCAGTAAAATCTAAAAAATTTCAAGCAGCAAAACTATCTAAAAAAAACGTAAAATGCCAAAAATATGAAATTTTTATCCAAAATTTTTCTATTTTTTTTTAGATTTCAAGCGGAAAAACCAACCATATCAAAACTTGTTCAAAGTCGATATTTTTTTGAATATTCTGCTGAAAATTCGCAGTTTTTACATTTCAAATAGTAAAAAGAAGTTGAAAAATAATTTCTGTTAGAAAAATTGGCTTCCACCCCCCGATAATGCCAATGCACCCCCCGATAATGCCAATGCACCCGTAATCGTAATACAAGGGTAAAGACGCCGCACGTACGAAGCAAATGACCCATCAATAAGTCTGAGCTGAACGAGGGGCGAGTAATTTGAAAGCCGTTCTAAAGCAAGAGACACGGAAGAAACCAGCTTTACAGTTTGGCAAAATGGACAAAACGTTCAAAAGTTGAAAATGTGACTAAAATGTCAAAAGTGAAAAGTGGGGGCGTTGTCGCGGGGGCGGTCCAGAGTATTCGTAAGGCGGGTTAATAAATATGGGGAGGCAAGCGAAATCGGGGGAATCGTTGGTGGGGAGGTGGGAAAGCTCGAAAATTAGCAAAAATAGCTTTTTGATACACCGAAATTGAGATTTTCCATTTCGCTAATTTTCAGATTTCGCGGATTCTAAGGGGAAGGGATATATACAAATTTGGGGGTTCGAAAGCCAAAAAAGGCTTGTTCTATGGAGGAATCAATGGTCCAGATACCATTTCGACCGCTGGGCAAAGATGTCGCTCTTCAGGTTCTGGGCGAAGCAAATGCCGAGGATCTGAAAAAATTGGTAGTTTATTTATTTTATGACAGGATCTTTTACATTATCAGGGGAGGCTTGTTCGCATAAGTGCAGATGATGTAATAATGTAATAGAAAGTACTATAAGTTTTTAGAAAAAAGCAATACCTCGATCAGAAAAACTATCCAGAGCAGGTAGAAAGCCATTTTTATTATTTTCAAGCAAATTAGTGTATTTTTTGGGTCCAGAATAGTAAAAAGTATAGAAACACGTTCACGCTTGAACCCGATAACTAGCAGAGGTTCTTTGCGGAATTTTCCCTTTTTTTTCTTACCTGAACAACAGCCACGACCAGCATCGAAATCCCGACGAGCAGCACGTTGTTGTTGAACCAGAGCTGAAGCTTGGGCAAGCAACCTTCAGTGTAGATGCTGCCGGGTTGGTTTTGATCCTAAATCGACAATTTAGATAAATAAATAAAATAAAACTTGCCCGCAGCCTGACGCCATGGCCGCAAAAGTAGTTCTTGAACGACACCTCGCTGCTGTTGAGGCAACAGGAGAATGGGACACCACCGGCTTCCGGGGATTGGATCTGGAGAAGTTTTTTTAGCTTTAAATTTTAACGAAATCCTGTTTTCCAGATCTAATATGAAGCCAAAAGAAACTAGCTTCAAAATCTAGCCAAAGATTTCACTCAAAAACTTACATCTCTCGACGTCATACTGAAATAGCTGTTCTTGTCCCAGTCATCGGCGCTGTTAATTCCGCAACACTTCCACGCTTCCTAAAATTGATTTTTTTCCGGAATTTTAGCCATTTTTACCTGCATCGAGTCGATCAGGATCTGAAGATCGGGGTCGTCTCGATAGCCCTCAATCTAAAAATCAAACAATATATAAATTTTAAGGTTTTCAACGAACCACGTCGTTGAGCAGCTTCCGGAAGTATTGGTCCAACTGCTCCTTACAAACGTAAGCGAAAGCACCGGCCGCGAATTCGGCGATGAGAAGGAGGCCTGGAAATGGGTTCAAAAAGATATCTTAAATTACCTAGCAAAGTGGAATAGAAAGTCAGGAACGACGTATTCTCCCTCAACGACCCGATGCAACCGCTGAAGCCTAAAATCACGGAAAATTAAAAATATCATCAAATTCACGAACCTATGATAAATGTCACCATCCCGACGACGATCAGCAGCCAAGTGGGATCAAGGTAGAGTTTTGAGGCCTAAAAACTTGTATTTTCATGATTTTATTTGGCGTTCAACCTTATTCAACTGGCTGTAGATGCTGTTCTTCTCGATCTGGGCCCACACGCCGATCACCAACAGGCTGAAGCCGAGCAGGAAAAAGAGCACGTTGAAGGCGAACACGCTAAAGGAAAATTATCTAGCTTTCAATGCCTCAAAATACCTATATTTTACACAGCAACTGATCTCCGATTCACCGCCCAGACCTGGCGCGTAGCGAACACCCTAAAAGACCGAAAATTTAATGGCAAACAAGATTCTAAAAAGGCTTTTCGGCAAAGGTTACCGCATGTCTGTAGATCCGGGCTCGTTGCGCGGCGGGTCGTCGCATGCGTTCGGCCTGTCGCGTGTCGCCCGCCATACCGACCCGCTAGAACAAAAAATATAAAATTTTTTAGAAGATTTTTTAGTGGAAAATGAGCTGTTCAAGGCGTATAGATCGTTACAATCGGTGATTTAAGACGCTGGCCGCAACATAATAAGCGAATCAATTCTATTTTATAAATGCCAAACTTATAAATCGTGGAAAGGTTAGGAATTTAGAGCAATTTTGAGGCCAGAAACAAGTTAATCACGGCTACAAATTGTTATAATCGGTGCTTTTTAAAACAGATAATCACCTAATCCATCGAAATCCATATTTGTAAAATCGTAATAAAAGTAAGGAAACTTTCAGAGCGATTTTCAAGCCAAAAAACGAGTCACAAGCCGGCTATAAATTTCTCTAATAAGCTATTTATAAAATTGCTAATACCATAAACTACCAAATGCGAAATTTATATAAACGTAATAGCGATATCCGCCGGTCATATGAGTCAGATGGTTCGCTAATCGTAACAAAGGGCGCCGGGGAAAGGTGCTATTTGCCGCCAAAGCGCAAAGAACCGGTGCGTATTGGCGTGTCGTGTAGCCCCGGTAGCCGGCGAAAATAATGGCGTCACGGGTTGGCAGCAATTCAGAAGCATCGACTCCTTATGTAAAATGCCCCTAGAAGTTCGATGATGGCGCTACCCGGGAATTTCAAGGTAAGAACCCGTTGCGTTAATTTTGGCAAGTATCGATTTTCCAGGTCTACGCCCTTATAGCCGCCCTTCTGTCGCTGACAACATTTGGTTTCACCGGGATCCTGTTGATAATTTGCTGCATCCTTTGTTTTGTGGCTGGGTAGGTCTAAAATACAAAAATTATGGTATTTTTAACCGGTTCTTTACATAGTAATTCCGATTTTCCTTTGGATTGCATGTTTTGGTAGAGGATTTTCTACTGTTTATTTCGATTAATAGGCTCGGAAACTTACAACGTTGAGCACAATGACCTGCTAAAAATAGCTTTGTAAGACTTACAATTAAAAATAATCGTTCCGACCGAAATTTGAATTTTTAAAGATTTTTCTAGGTTTAAAAAGTCGGTTTTTTAACTGAAAGCTGCTAAACTTTATTAAAACCTGTTAAGATACGTATTTTTAGGTCTACGGACGTCTTATTACAGAAAATTATAGATCGGGCAATTAAATTACATTTCAGCCTCCTCTTCCTCATCTACAAAAATGGACGAGCCGGCCAAAAAGAGCTGGACGCCAAGCTGGATGCCCTGCTTGAAGAATTCGAGTTTCCCCCGGGCTTGGCCCCATTCCTGGCGAATAGACGAAGATTTGAAGATAAGGTAAGAGTGTTATAAAGCTTTAAACCCGTATTTTCAGTCCGCATATTCAGAGAGAATTTCAATGACCGGCTCTGCCGGAATGGATCAAATATTGGAACAGGTGTGTTCCGGAATAGGATAATTTAAGCTAAGAGAAAATTTAGATGCTCAACTACATCGTCCGTGATTACGTCGACTACTGGTACAAAGACATGACAAATGACGAGTTGCTTCACGAATCGTTGAAGAGGACTTCTAGACGTACCATCGCGGCGTTTGCACATTGGTAAGTTGGGTGTTGAAAGGTGTATTTTGGAGTCTATCGTGTTTAAAAAAAAGCATAAAAGTTATTTTCTTTGTTTTTTTTTTGCTCCGTATTGTTTTAGCCGCTAAAATGGCATTTTTTAGCGTTCGTAAAGTCGACTGGGTCCCGTTTTTCACTCGGCATTGCGTTGATGACTTTGCTTCACATCTCCGCCTTTTCCGGATGGCTACAGAGAGACTACAATTTGATAAAGAAAAGGTGACCTTCATGATTCTCTCTCTCTCTCTCTCTCTCTCTCTCTCTCCTCTCTCTGCTCTCTCTCTCTCTCTCTCTCGCTCTCTCTCTCTCTCTCTCTCTCTCTCTCTCCTAAAATATAAATTTCCCTAATTAGGGCTCGGGCACCGGCGAGGACCTGGAGAGCCACTTCTTCGACCTGGAATTTGAGATGGAGAAGAAGCTGTGCCGGGATCTGCTTTCGACTACGCCTCATTACGAAAATGGTACGGTAGAAAACGTTGAAAACTGCCGTAATCAAGTCAAAACCGGGCCAAGGCTTACCCCAGTATTTTAGCCTATCTCCACGATCTGATGGACATTTTGCTGTACCTTATGATGCCGCCGGAAGATTTCCGGTGTCGCCCGCTACGGTTTTTGATGAGAGAGGTTAGATACCAAATTTTTGATGGTTTTAAAGGTATCAGGAAAACCAATTAGGGGCAGAAAACTATAAAATACAATACAAACATCTAAAAACTTGAATTTTTCCAGATCATGGTCAAAATCGTGTTCGTCCCAATGCTCGATCACTTCTCGAATCCGGATAATGTCAATCAGCTGCTCGTTTGGCTTGTAAGCTATAGATTTTTATGTATTTAATTCAATTTTATTTTAGCTTTCTGAAGTCTCGCCAAAACCCGAAGATTTCGTCCTCTCCGTTGAGCATAGCTCAAGCCAAAAGGAGCTCGAGGCCCTGATAAAATCGGTGAAGGAGGAAATGTTGCACTTGAGAGGGAGAGATTCTGGAGGGGAGCATGGTAAGGATTTTTTGAAATTTAAAATCGTATAATTTTTTAGGTGATTTCGTAAAGCAACAACTAGCCAGTCTCGAATTTTTGGAGGCCACGATCCGGAAGAAGTTGATCTTCATTTCGGAGGGTGGCGTTGAGAGAGGGGCTGATGCGGTGAATTTTTAGAAGAATAAAAACAACAAATTTAACAAGGATAAATGCGTTTAGATCTTTAATAAAATTTTGAAACTATTTAAGGGTATTGGCTCTTTTGCATTAACGGTGGGGGGAGGGGAAAGGAAGCGTTTTCCTCTTAGATCTAACTTGTCCAATATTAATTTCTACAAGATTTTGTAGATTGGATTTTGCTATAAAAAATACAAAAACTAGATTTTATGTCCCAATATGCCCAATTTTTGGCCAAAAATTCAAATTTTTACATTTTTATGAATTTTTTCGATTGTTCGTCCATTTTAAATTTAGCTAAACTTTGCTAAAAATCTTATAAAATAGTTATTATTTTTCAAACGTTTTTAGCGCTGCTCCGTCGTCGAGGATTCTTCATCAGATGGCCTCATCCAACTGCCCGTCCACGTCGTCTTGACCAATTCCGTGGCCGTCAGCTATTTCTGCGACTTTTTGAACACGGTCGGCGGGCAGAACTACATCGATTGCTACCTGGCCATCGAGGTATGAAAAAAATATTGTTTTACGCGTCGAAAAAAATATGAAATCTGTGGTTTATATCAATAATTAAATACAATATAAGAAACCATTAAATATCTACTATATATAAATTTCTAATGTCCGTCTGCCCGTCCGACCGGGAATTCAGCCAAATTTTGCATTCAAATTCCAAATTCAAGGTGTGGGATGCGGGGGGGGGCAGCGCTGAACCCCCGCGTAGCGGGGGGTCGGCGCTGGTATAGTATAAACTCCAATTATCAGGGCTTCAAAGTGAGCGTGGAGCACCAGCTACGTTCCCTGGCCATGGGTGAAACGACAAACGAAGATGTGTGCGAGACGATAAAAGAAGCCGCAAAATTCATGTACCACCAATATTTGTCACAAGAGGTATCTAAAATTTTTAAAAACTAATTTGAGTTAATTTAGGCCATTACTCGAGTCCCACTCCGCGAATCGGTGGTCGCCAAATTTTTGCATAGGATGAAAAATGACGAGCCGTCAGATTCCTGGTTCGAGCAAATACAGGAAGAGGTGAATTTTCGGCACGGAAAACCTTAAAAAAATTTGTTTTTAGCTTTCTGATGTGCTAAAAACAAACGAGCGGTTCTACCCGGCTTTCAAACAGGATCCGCTTTACGAGAAGATGTTGTTGGAATTGGGCATTATAGGTACGGTATCCTTACTAAGAATCCATTTTTTTTTTTGGATGGAACATCTTTATTACTTACTTAACACGAGAGTTTGACAAATTCAGTTTCCCTTTTAGCGTATTTTAGGCGGTGAAAACGTTTGCATTTTTGTTTATTCGAGTTTAGTAAATAGAATTTTTTAAATTTGAATTTTTGGAACATTCCTTAGTACAATTTTTTCTTAATTTAAATGTTTTCTTTGACGTTCGTTCTAATGAGACCTTGTGAACTTTAATTCTTTAGAACTTTTGAGTTAATGACACTTCAAAAAATATTTAAGCAAAAGTAATAAATAAAATATTGAAGTGACTTAATTTTCAACTTTGTCTTCAACTTTTAAACACATAGATCCCGTATTCATTTAATTGCTTTAACTAATTGGAAATTCCTTTATTTTTTAAGATCCCCGAGTCTTCAAATCTCTGAAAAATCTACTCCATTTCAGGAAACGAAGAAGAGCGCTCCGAAAGCCAGGCCAGCGACTCGAGCTCGATCCGCTCGGGTGGCACTTCGATGGACCCGACGACAATCGTTGAAAGGGTAAAAACACTTTCGATTTCTTTAATTTTTGATATTTTCAGATAGTAGAAGAAACGCCAGTTTCCGCTTCGGATCCCGCGCTCAACGCTGAGCCAATAATCGTGGCTATAGTGGAGCCACTAGGAATTGGTTAGTGAAATCGCGAAAATTAGAAAAATCAAAATTTTTTTCCAGGCCAACAAGGTAAAAACTCGTTTGCGCTGTATAATATTCGAGTGGAGAGGACTTTGGCGGGAAAGAAGGTGGATTAGTTTCGGATTTTAATTAGGAAAAGGGTACTTCGGCATTATCGGGGGTGAGATTTGTTGGGTAACTTGTATTTTACTGAAATTTAACGATAATATTTCAAATAGAAAAAAATATCTACAAAACGTCTAAAAATGCGGGATTTGGGTTTAAAATCTGGTTTCTTTTCGTATTCAATAATAGCATTTTGTAAGGTTTTACGTTTAGAATTACTAAAAAAAGTCTTTCAAAAGCGTCAGCCTATTATAAAAATTGA